CGTTTTGGAAAAAAAAAATTGAAAATGTCCCTGGGGCTTTATGTAAAGTATCCCCCAAAACGAATGATTTTCAAAATCACATAGCTTCAACTCACTTTGAAAAAACGGTTAACTTCGGACGGTCGGACATTTTGAAAAAACTGTCACACAACACGCGTATTTCTGTTGAAATCTCGAAATCGATTTTCCGCAGCATTGCATAACTTTTCCTATACTATGTATATTACTCCGTATATACGTACTTACATGGGAAATTAAAAAGCAAAGCTTGAAGATCGTCAGGTGACGGTTCGGGAGCTATGTAACTCTGATGTCAGTAAGACCACTTCTGACGTGCTTTGAGCTAAGTGGACCCAAAAAATGCCTACGCATCATGCTAATGCTCGTCTCCACACCGCCCGTGCAACAATCGCTTAATTTTGAGGGGATTCACACATATTTACACGAAACGTCAATTGAGGATGAGACAATAAGCTTTTGTCTGCCTGAGTTGGAACGTCATATCGTTTCCTTGGTGTAGAGGTCAGGCTCGCGGGGGTTAACTCGAAGTGCCTGAGTCTTAGTGCGGAGAAAGGCGGAGAGGAAAGCCTCCCTTGTGCTGTGTATCTACGTTACGAAGCTTTCCTTGGGTAGCAAAAGCGCTGAGACATGGAGGGGGAGAGGTTTAAAGTTGCTTCTCAGAGTGATAGTTTTGTTGAGTTTGAAAAAAAATCCTACGTATATTAGTTTGTGAAAAATACTACGTGAATAAGTTTTTGGAAAGCCACGTTCTTCAACGCCGCCGACACAGTCTCTGCCTTCTCCACTGTCGCACACGTCTCCCCACAAGCCGCCGTCACCGGAGCAAACCCCTCCGCCCCCGACACTATGGAGACTGCCTGTAGTTTGATCGCGAAGCTCGAGACTATGTGCAAACAAGGCGAAGAAAAACAAAATCTTCAGCAGACATTTATGCCTTCTTTTCCGTCTTCTCGGGCCAATTGCAGGTGACGCGGGATGATACGCATCTTCTTGTTGTCGCGAGCAGCATTCCCGACCAACTCGAACACTTCGGCGGCGAGATATTCCATGACGGCCGCCAAGTAGACGGGCACGCCGGCTCCTACGCGCTCAGCATAGTTGCCCTTGCGCAGAAGACGGTGGATATGAGTCACCGGGAACTGAAGCCCGGTTCGGCTGGAGCGGGACGTACTTACTCTTCACCTTACAGCCTTTGCCGTGACCACACAAGTCTATTTCAGAAAGGGCGAAAACACGAGTACTGCTCTAGTAGACCCTCGACTCGGTTGTACAGCATAACTCCAAGGCCAAGAGCAAGTACTTCCGGTTGCGATGAATTTTGCTTTTTTTATCAATTACTCTTCAGAATGCTTGGTGAAGTGTGATACAATCAATACCGTCTGATCCCTAAAAAAATACTACGCATTGAATAACAGAAAAAAGTACTTTCACCGTATAAAATCTTTTATACGTAACTTAAAAAGCCTATGCCCGTCTCTCTCTCGTGGTATTTAATCTCTTTAAATATTTTACCTCAAATATAACTTACTCCCTCTTAACTCTAAAAGACTCAGCAACAATGTTCAACAGTTGTTTTGTTTATTGTTTTTCTTTGCCACACAGGTAGCCTTTTAACACCATCTTTGCTAGGCATTTCCTCCTACCTCTAAAAAATAAAAAATATAATAAATAAAGAACCCAAAGGGAAGTAAGATAGTTTAACATGGTCAATGGTACAATGTACACTCACTTTTCACAAAATCAACCATGTTAAATACGAGTTTGTTTTTTTTTCCTTTCTTTTTCTCTTTCCAAAAATAAACACATATTTTATCTAAAATGTGTCTCACATTTTGGTAGTTTTCACTATGAAATAGAATATATATAATTCAAGTTATGATATAAAATAATCCAAACAAAATACTTATTTTTGTGTTGCAAACATATCTTTTTTATACCCAACACTAATGAAGTTTTTCAAGAACTATCAAGACTTACAGCAGCTCTGGCAGCAGGAGTATAAACTAGGAATATTAACTTCTGAAATTTATCAGTCATATGCATTGTTAACAAGAAGTGGTTAAAGGTACATCACTTTCCCCTTCATGTTTCAATTTTGCTATAAGGTGCAGGGAATCGGGAGAGGAAAAGTTGTTTGAATTCTCATGCTGACGATAACTTTTGTTTTCAAAGTCACAGGGACAAAATTTCAAATGATCAAAATAATAACTAGATTTGAATGAAAAAATAAGCATTTTTCATTACAAAAGGGAAAATATAATTTTTTAAAATTTTTAAACATGATTAAAGTCTTGCTAGTCACATTTTTTTCTATGTTAACCCTCAGAATCCGAAGGGGGTACATTTTGTACCCCACACCATAATTTTTACTAATATAATTTCTCACGTCAATTTTTACGGGTTAACATAATTTTTTCTTGCACTTATACACCATTACATGCAACTTCTATGTATAAAATAATTACTGATAGAAAACAAATTTGTAATGTATTAATTGATACCCGTAAATCAGTGTAAGAGTTTAGTGGAGGTAAAATGATTTTCAAAAAAAAATATTTGGGGTAGAAAATGTACCCCCTTTGGACTCCGAAGGTGTAATTTGGCTCCGGACTCCATTTTCCCTACAGGGTTTAAAGTGGCACTATAATCCCTCCTGGATTTAAGTAACCACACTCACTAGCGACTCCCATTATCATTACAGCCTGAGAAAGAAAGTCTGAATATAACAAAATAATGCAAATGAAGAAAAGATGTCACAATTATGATTTTGCTCTTACTTAGCCATGGCTAATGGAATCTGAAGAGCTTGAAAAAGGAAGTAAATGTAATAACGAGTAAATGAATACACAGGAGACTGAAAAATCTTATTTTAGTCAGCCCACAAACACTTCCCTACCTAAAGAAGTACGTTATAATTAGGGAGTGGATTTGCACGACCTAAAATATTGCCACAAATGATCAATAAAATGCTCTTCAAATGCTTTAAAAACGACCCAAAACAAAAAAAAAATTATATAAAAAATTTGATCAAAATCACTGCAGATGAACAACTCAAACTGATGAATATGAGGCTTCTTCCTTTTGCTCAAGTGAACTAACCTTGCAGGCTCTAGGTTTGAACTACCCTTTAAAAGAAAATCTCTGCTTTTATTTATCATGAAATCGGCTGAATTGACAATGGCACCGACAGGCATCGCAGGAAGCTTAGAACAAATAGTACTCACAAAAGCTGACTCTACAATACATGAGCGAAGAAATCGAATTGGCTACTCAGGAATTCTGTGGTGAACACTAGTTGCACATTGTAAATATTTCTGGAAGCAAGAATCATGAAAATGATATTAAAATCAATGAAAATGCATTAAAAATGACTTAGAGGGGTACAAAATGATTCATTGGGCAAAATCGATGAAAAACGCAAGGAAATAACATAAAAATGCTTCATTTCATTTTGTGTTTACATAAAATGAATTTTTATACTAAGTGGCATTTTTGTAAAGGGAAAAGAAAAAAGTTGAGATTTCATTAAAATCTGCCCCCTAGTTATGATGATTTACAGACACCAAAAGTGGCTCATGGCATAAATTTGTCACTGCAGTGCCTCTGACATGATCATTCCTTTCTCATCTTTGTCCTATCCACACCCGTTACTTGCACCATTTACATACAAGTAATGGGAGTACATACTCGTACTTGCACTACACAACCACACATGCCGGCAGACTGAGTTGGTTCAGCCTGAGGCGGTGACCACCCTTTTGGACAGGAGATACCTTTCTGGGGAAAAACCTGCAAGCCGACAGGTAGGTCAGCGTCAGATCTCGCCATCCAATGGAAAATTAACCACCACCTCCCATGCTGAAAAACCTGCATTACATTTACAAGACTAATGTATGTAGCAGTTGATTCACCCGGAATCAATCATGATGCAATCATGATCAATCAAATGCAATTTTCCTCTCCATTCAAACTGTTTCTAGTTGTCTCATGTCAAGATGAATATAGAGTAAATGCATAATAGATATAGAGTAAATACATAATATTATTAATATAGACAGGATTTCCACGCAAATGCAAGTTTTTATTTATGGTTTGTAGAGTTCAGAAACTTTGTAAATATATTTTTCAGAGCATACTCATTTCAAAAATTGCATACTTTTTCTGTGCATGATTGCAGGTTTTGGTAGTTTGGGGAAGAAATTCAAGCATAATGCATTTTTTGAGTTTTACTGTTAGATCCTGACAGTACAAAGTTGCCTTCTCTTATTGTTATAATAGAAATTTTAACCCTCTAGTCCACATGCCAATTCTTGCAAAGTGGGTACTTGCGCTGGGAGCCACAATTGTAAAATGAATCAATCACAAACGATTAAGTAACAAAAGCTAACGAAGATACAGGAAGAAGTAATTCAATATCCTTTGATAATTATTGACAATGGAAGAAAAAAAAATCTAAAGCAGATTCTCAGTCCACTTGCGTTCATCACTATCTCTTGTGTTGTCATTGCCCTGCATACATGTTCATTTGTTTCCCGACCTGTCAAACTGATACCTTCTTAAAGTACGTTCTTTAAAATGTAACTGTTACATTTTAGCTGTAACATGTAAGCTCTGTGATTGGGCCCTGAGATTAATATGTAAATTCCTGGACCTCCCAATTTTTCAGAATGTGGTCAATCTAAATAAGATTCCTTTGAAGATGCAATAAGTCAGCACATCTACATTTTGAAACTGGGCATGATCAACCTTTACGCCAACAATATTCATCCATTATTCATATGCAGGAGAACATCATTATTTTTACTCTGGATAACTATTCTTTACAAAAATTAAGTTATACATGTTTTTTGACATTCTTGTTTCAGATTTTAGTAATTAAAGTGAGTTGAAAGGTCTTCCATTACAACTTACTATTTGGCATAGGAGTAAATTCACACAGAAAAAAAAAAGAAATGTCTATCAAACATTAAGTTTAAAATACTTTAATTTACAATTATCCATTTTTTAGCATGCAAATGTAAATACATCTTTCAACATTTTCAGAACTTACAAAAGCATCTACATGTCATTTACAACATAACGCACAAAGCCATCAGAACGTATTTCCTTGATTCGCTGAGTAGAACGCAAAATATTTATCAGCTTGCTCACAGCCAAAGATGTACGAAGAAAACCAAACTTTTTTAGGTCATCTTCAGTGAAGAATGTCAGTCCTAAAAATTAATGAATATTAAGAAACATTCCAAATTATTTCAAATGTCAGTGTTAATCTAGTAGGTGCTAAACTGCACATTCGTTCTTAGGTTACTGTTAACATTAAAAATACACCTGTCTTAAGTAGTCACCAAAAGTTCTGGCTAAAATTGGCTATTAAATTGTTTAATATTGTTTAATAAAGGTTATGAAGTTGTTGGAAGCGTGTTCTGTATCTTATGAAATGAGTAGTATGTTCTCTTTAAAATTTTTGAAAACATTAAAGAAAAATACAATTTAAACAGTTTATTTAGGGTCATTAGCACAGGATGTATGTAGATAAAACATCAACAAACAAAGATCCCTTTCAAAAAGCAATAGTACTGTATAATAAATTACCTAATAATATTAAAAGAAGGAAAGACAGTTTCAAAAGATTATTAAAAACTTACCTAATTGAGACTTGCCCATATAAATTAAGTGAAATAAAACAAGAATTATTATTACTATTATTATAGGACATAAATATTCTTAAAGTATTGATTACATATTTTGTACATTTGTACATTGATTAACAATTTTGTAAATCTTATAATGTTACCCAATAAAGTTAATATTCAAGATGTAATTGAATGCAATTAAATTATATATGTAGTATATACTGACATTGTTTGATACTTATAAAACTATGAAACAGACAATGGTAGTGACAAACCAACAGATCACATTTTTAAAATTGATTTTGTAATTTTTGAAGAAAAATCGAGCAATACCCGAAAATGGAACTAGCACCATATTTCTTACCACCCCTTATTACACGTGTGAAGATAATTTAAAGAAATAATTTGAAGCGATTTTTGCGAAGAAGAAAAAAATTGTTAATTTCAAGCACAAAATACCTCAAAACTACTAACTTCTACAAAAAATTACACATGACCTTTTTGAAAGACCTAATTTTGTACAACAGACCATGTCTGAACCAAAAACCTCTATCTTCAATTTTGGAGGTTTAAAACATTTTTTTTTTCTAAGTCGAAAAATCGGGAAATCAGCAAAAATAAGATCTGAACCATTCTCTTATAACGTCCTTCGCATTATTGAACAACAAATTTTTTTTAAACATTTTGGAGCAGTTTTTGAGAAAATTTTGAAAATATGTTCAAGGCTTTATGTGAAGTACCCTCAAAAATCGAAATATCCGTTTGAAATTTCCAAGCGAGATCATTCAGATCGATTGAGGAATATAAATTTTGAAGAAAATCAACTGAATGGTTTCGGCGCTAGCGTTGACCACAGGAGGATATTTGGCTGTCAAATGATTTTTCAGTATGAAGAATCAACAAAACATGGATTATGGCTACAACGCAGGTAGAGGATTTTTTCCCCTAAATTTAGCAACAGGATTTAACTACTTCTTTGTTACCAGAACCCGGCAAATACGTTATTTTCTGGTGACATTTCTGTCTTTTTTAGCACACAATTACATAACTTTCTCTTCTTACAAAGATTCCGTAAGGCGAGAAAGTAACAATTAACTATACAAATAA